AGCAAAATGCAAGGCCAAAATGAAGAAAAATTAGAAGGAGGAGTTACTAATATACAAGAAGAAGAAATTACTTATGTAAGAAAAAGGTAACTAAACTAATGTTCGAAAGTTTACCTATTATGTTTTAAACTTTGTTCTAAAGTTTTCCATTATGTTCTAAAGTTTTCCCTTAAGTTCTAAAGATTTGTATTATGTTCTAAAGTTTTCCATTATGTTCTAAAGTTTTCCATTATGTTCTAAAGTTTTCTCTTATTTTCTAAAGATTTGTATTATGTTCTAATGTGTATCCATTATAGTTTATGTTAATCTTATCCCTTTATATTTGCACTCTATTTAATGTTAGTTGTATTCTAATTATTTTTTATTGTTTTTAAAGGAAAGTTGAAAACGTTGAAGCGGAAGTAATCGATAAATCGGAATTTGAGAAGCATATTGCAAGTAAAAGTGTTGCTATAAGACATAGAAAACTTCCAACAAGGCTTCAACCACCTCGAAAATTGCAAAAAAAAGGAAGGAGGAGAAAAAGATCAAGAAGAAGGAAAAGATCAAAAAGAAGAAGAGGGTAATAATGTTGAGGATGATGACGAGAATAATGATAGTGAAGATGATGGTGAGGAGGATAATAAGGGTGATGTAAAGATGAAAGAGAAAGATGAAAAAGAGGAGATGGAAGATGATAGTGAGGAGGAACAAAAAATCAATAAAAAAAATCAAACTTAGGTAATAATACTCTTTAATCTTTACAATCTTTCATTTATCATTTAAAAAGATAAATTTGTTTAGATGTGGCTCATGATGAACTAATCTTGTTGCATGATGTACATATTCATGGAAACTGAAAATGTGAAGAAGAAGAAAAGAAAGATTGAAAAAGAAGAAGATGGTGGGGATGTCCAAGTAGTAGAAGCTAATGAGCAAGATAAACTAGTTAAGATGCAACCTTATCAAAGAGTACCTCCTACTCAATTCATGAAGGATGTGTTGATAAATCTTTCGGAGAAACATAAGCAAGCTATTCGGAACATTGGTTTTGGAGGCTTTTTGGAATTGGATTTACCAATCCATATTAATTCTATATAAGTAGTATAATGTTATGTTCTAAAATCATATTCTAAAATCATAAGTATTATCAATTTTATGTTCAAAATTATGATCTGACATGTTTGAATTGCTATACACTAATGTTCTAAATTATATGATTATGCTCTAAATTATGTGCATATGTTCTAAATAATATGATTATGTTCGAAATTAGTTATATTCTAAATTATGTGCATATGTTCGAAATTGTATGATTATGTTCTAAATTATGTGCATATGTTCTAAATAATATGATTATGTTGTAAATTAGTTATGTTCTAAAGTTACTTCTTGTGTTCTAAAATTATGATCTCTCATGTTTGAATTGCTATACACTAATGTTCTAAATTAATTTTTTGTTATGTTCTAATGAATGTTTATTATGTTCTAAAATAGAACTTTTTTTTATTCTATAATGTTCTAAATTATGTTCTAAAGTTTAAATATTATTCTAAATGTTTTAATCTTCTATGTTCTAAAGATTGACTATTATGTTCTAAATATAGTTGTATTGTGCTCTAAATCTTACATTTTTCATCATAATTCTAGGTTGACAGAAAACTTGGTTACGAATTTTGACACGGAGAGATGTTGTTTGATGTTACCTAAGAGAAAACAAGAAATCTTTTTGGATGCAATTGATGTTCATTTGGCTTATGGGTTGCCATTGGGAGGCAAAAGGATTGAGCAACCAAATGATGAGTCAAATTTGAAATGGAGAAAGTTTCTAAAAGATTGGAGAAGCAAGTTTGGCCTCAAAAAGGTATGATGATATAATGTGGTTATGTTTTAAATTTTATGTTCTAAAGTATGAATTTTATGTTCTAAAACGCAGATCTTTTATGTAGTTATTTGACTTGTAATGTTCTAAATTATATTTAGCTATTTTTATGATAATATATTGGTATAAGATGGTTATGTTATAAATTGTATGTTCTAAAGTATTTTGCTTATGTTCTAAAGTGTTTTCTGCTTTAAAATAGATCTATTATATTCTAAACTTTAGAACATAATGGAAAACTTTAGAACATAATGCTTATTATGTTCTAAATTATAGTCTCCTATGTTATAGATATTGACTATTATCTCCATATAGGTTTTAATTTATATGTTTTTTTTACCTCTAAAAGGGAAGTCCAACCAACAAGAGATTGATTGACAGAATTCAAGAATTGAAGAAGGAAAAAAGCAGTTTATGATGAATTTCTTTGGAACTTTGTGGTATGTGTTGTCAATTGTTGCATCCAATCAACAAACAATATACAAGTATACATTAAATTCTTGTATAGTTGTATGGATGTAAAGAAAATTGCTGAATTGGATTGGTGCACATTTGTGATTGAGCACTTGAAAGATTCTGTTAATGTATGGAAGAAGGGAAATTCTTACTTTACAGGTCCTTTACCTTTTCTAATGGTAAGTTTTAAGTTCTTACCATTATGTATATATGTTATTCTTGTTATGTTGAAAATGTGTGAAAAATATTCTAATTAATTCTTAACATGTACTAAATAGGCATTCCATTTTGATCGTCTACAAAGAGGAGGGTTAGAAAAACCAAGAAAAAGTCCACTAATATCAATGTGGACTAAGGAAAGGACTCAAGTGATATATAAGTTTGAAAAAAATCATGGATTTGGATATGGAAAACTCTTGGAAAGATTGGAATCAATTGTGGTATGATATTTGTATATGCTTATGTTTAAACACTACACTTTATATTCTATCTATATTCACTAGGCGAAAAACCCCAATCCCCACCGGTTCAAACCATACATTCCCCACCGGTTTTGATTTGGGGGTGCGAAATCCCAAAAGATTTCCCACCGGTTCAAAATCGGTGGCAAAAACCATTTTTCCCACCGGTTTTGGAGTGAACCGGTGGCAAAAGCTTTTGATTTATGTTATAGTTGAGCACTTTTCCCACCGGTTTTGGGGTGAACCGGTGGCAAAACTATAACATTTCCCACCGGTTTTCACACTGACCCGGTGGCAAAAGTGCCCCAAAAAATAATTTTTTTTTTTTTTTTTTTTTTTGCATTTTTCTCACTTAAATTGTACCAAATACTTATATATAATCATAATATACATAAAACACATATATTTGCCTCAATAACTTGTAATATTACACTTTAAAAACTGAAAAAAAAAACATATAGCTGTTTTGCTGGGCCTGGTGCTACAATGTTGTGAACGATAGTGCATGTCAACAAGATAATTATAAAAGCTGCCCAGGATATCATAACTACTGCTGTTCTGCTTCTGCTACTGCTACTGCTACTGCTGTTCTGCTACTGCTTCTGCTACTATTGTTCTGCTTCTGCTACTTTGTGTTCTGCTTGCTGTTCTGCTATTGCTATTCTGCTACTGCTTGCATTGCTTTGCTGTTCTGCTATTGCTATTCTGCTACTGCTTAAAAAAATGTATTTGTTGGAATCTGTGTTAATAAATTAGAAGAAAAAAATCCATTCAGCAAGGTGATTTTTCTAAGAGCATAACATGGATACTGGAAACTATATGCAACAAAATAACCTAATAAAGAACCATAGAGTTGCATGATCCCTAAAGAGAAACATCAGACCCATAGTCTAAACTAGATGCAGCATTCTTTTCTGAAAGAAAGTAAAAGAACTTCAATCACTTGGACCACATGGCCAACAACCCGTACTATTCAGACACCTCATTTTATATCGTGTTGAATGCTAGGTACTTGACACTAAAATAAGTGTGTAGACAATTTATTATCACATTACGGACCAAAATCATCCAAAATCTTTCATAAAGCAGCTAAGTCTGACACTTAGTAACATAGCTTCTTATCATCCATTGGTTTTCCCTCTCTCCTTCTTAGAGACAGTGTATTGCGAGTTCATAAATCTAAAGGTGTGGACAAAGCTAAATAAGGTCAGAGCCCATACGCTACAAGTAACAACTAACAGCGGTACGAAAATCCAAGATAGAAACAGATAAGGTCAAAGTGAGGGTTAAATAAATTTCAAAGGAAAAGAAATACTTGGATAAGAGAGAATGTGTGGTCCAAAAAATCTAAATTATATAAGATTTACCGAGAAAGGAAAGATGTCAAGTGAGTACGAAATTCATGAAATGGACCAAAACAGAAAGTAGATAGCAATTCATGGAACGAAGGTAGTAGTTAATAATAAAATGGCACTTTGTATCATGATAGCAATAGAAAATTAAATGTTTGTAAAATAAGACAAAAGAAAACATCCATATAATAAAAGAAAAGACTGGCTTCATCATCAAAAACACCACATGCAATCCTAATAAGACAAAGGAAGATATCCATATACGAGTAATAGAAGAAAAAACTGCTTCATCATCAAAAACACCAAATACAATCCCTCCTAAAATAAAAATGCTAATATGATATTTTATGAGTCGGCAAGGAATTCGTTTGACAAAATTTGTTGGCTAGTTAGTAAGGCATACACTGAATCAACTTATTGCATGTTTATGCTTAGAAGCCTTAGACCTCAACTCTTTTGAATAAGTCGTCTCAAGACCTGCTGATTGCAGCAAAAATAAGTTGTGAGACCGATCTCATCATACAACTATAATTCTAGCGGCGAAATGCCTCTGCCTATTGCTAGAAATTTGTTTGATCACCTCACATGAATGATGCAAACTACAATATCCCAACAATAAAAATTAGTTTCTGCTTCATAGTTCAGAGAAATTTAAAGTTCAAATGCTTCATTATTATACATATGCAACAAGCTATGATCAATCAAATGATCCAGAATTCACAAATTAAGTTAAGAAATAATTAATCTGATCATATATATCCCTCTTCATTTTTAAGAATCTTACATTTCTGTAACAAATGAACTCTTTTAATTATTTCTTCCACAATTCAGATCAGATGAACCCGATTCGGATTTCATACACTTAACAGATTATCAAGCATATTCAAACAAATGATCCTCAGAAAATAACATATATACTGTACATAACTTTAACCGTATATGTTTACATCATCAAAATATGCATTAATAATAAGAATTTTATACTAGTTACTACCATCAGCAATCATTATTCATTACACTGCAAACATATAGAAGTAGCAATTATATAAACTAGTTCATTCAAAAACTCTAAGCAATCTGGGTAACTTTTACAAGTTAAATCATCCCTTACTTCAGGGTACTTTGCAGGAAAGCAGAAGCATGCTACAAAGACAGGTTACTTCAGGTTTCACTTGAGAATGCTTATTCACATGATTAGGTGTTCATAAATGAAATCATCAAGCAAATATAAACCATGATAGTAGACTTGATGCCGAACTGCAATAAAAAATTCTGGTAGAAATAAAGAAAATCTAAGACTAGGACAAACTAACTAACATCCGAAATCATGGCTTAAGAACACTAATCTCCTATAGAAACTTGTACCTTAATCAGTGAAGATACTCCGGGGCTAAGTACCCCATTGTCTTAGCTAGAATAGTTGGTTTCCTCAAACTAGAATCTCGGTCATAGACCTCAACCAATCCAAAATCACCAAGTTTAGGGTTAAAATCCAAATCAAGCATCACATTACAAGTCTTTAACATCCCTATGAATGACTTGCCTGTTGCATTATATTCTTCATGCAAGTATCCAAATTTAACATAAAAATCAAGAAAGAGTAGCGATTAAACTACCTATTTCGGTGCTCATTTAACCTTGAGATTGATATATATGAGTAGCTTGATCAGGATATTTATCATTGATTAATTTTGTTTTTTTTTTAATGTAAATAGTAGGATTAATTGAATTCAAAATATTTTAATTTGAATTAAATTTTAAGTCACAAAATAATGGTACAAATATATAAAAAAATGAATAATTCATGAATCCATCAAGGGTTTTTTTATCCAAAACTTCTCAAACTGTGTTACCTCAACGGACAAACCGGAGCAAATCACAGTGAGAAGTATGAAAGTGAGTCCCTTCATCATATGGATTATCCTAGTGTAACTGTGTAACTAATCATCAACCCCTAACATAGTCAAAACTTCTGCCTAAAAGTCTCAACAACCATTTCACATGATTGGAATCTAATGGCAAATAGTGTTGACTAGAAATTGGGATGAAAATCTCATTTTTTGGACACACATCATTGATGCAAACAAACTGTATACCCCCATAATACAGAGCAAATTGTATTCACTTAAGGTTATATATACCCTATTAACCATCAAGTAAATCATTCTTAAATCACCATCATTATCATACCCATTAGCATAACAATCTTATAGCCATCAAGTACATCAAGGACAAATCACCAACATTATCATAATCATTAACACAACAATCTTATAGCCATCAAGTAAATCATTCTCAAATCCCCAACATTATCATAACATTTAACGTAACAATATTATAGCCATTAATTAAATCATTCTCAAATCACCAACATTTTCTCAATCATCAACATAAGCATATTCATCAACATAACAATCTAATAATCATAATCATCATCATAAGCATAAGCATAAGCATAATCAATATCATAACTATCTCATAATCATAATCTCAATCAATATCATAGACATATATAATCAACATAACAATCTCATAATCATAATCAATATCATATCATAATCACACTCCCAACACCAACAGTGAACTTCACATCACTAAACGCAACCAAGCATATATAATACCCCCGGCCAACAACAAATCACAGTTGCTGGCATCCAAATATATTTTCCAATACAACTAACCTAAATAAGATAAAATTAAAATAATTCAATAAAAACTAAAAATGGAGAGAGAAGACTTAGCTGAGTGATTAGTAGAATTGATTAATATTACTGCCAATGTCAAGATGAATAAAGCTTTTAGGAGCATATCCATTCTATAAGCTGCCTGAAAAAAGAATATATACCTAAATTGGTGGCAAAATTCAAAAGATTAGATAGTTGGATCAATAAATGCACAATAATTACTACTTAGTTCGAAATGATTGATGGAGCCACTGCAGGACATTAAACACATACATGAAGACTACTGTAATGTAGAATTAATTAAGCATTAAGAGAAGTAAAGGCTTCCTTTTGACGGCTCAGAGGCCTTATTGCCTTAAGCATATAATTACAAAAATAAAATATGAGAACACGTATGATAACAGAGTCCAACGATATAAAAAAGAAACTGCTATTAAATATGTAAATATGATTGGGTGAATTGGTGCAAGACAAAAGGGGAATTATATCCTGCGAATTGCAAGGACATGGAATAATATTCTATTGCAAACACATGAACTTGACTAATTATGTTATTCAACAGATACATTTTGATATTTCACAAGCTTTAGTTGTTACTGACATTAATATTCAGCTAAAGACCAGGAAATCAGAGAAGATGGAACTTCATTACCTCATTGAACAATACATCATATTTCTAGAGTAAAACCAGCCCTCAAAAGTGTAGGTCTATTTTACCGGTAACCCATAAAAATCAGAAACTTTAACTTTCAAAATCTATCAGCTGAATAAACCAAGACAGATAATCATTAATTACTACTACAAAAAAAAAGTAGATTTTATGCACCAAATTCATTTAAAAAACAAATTCAAAGATTCATCAAAAGGACAACCATATAAACAAATTGATAAAAACTAATCAAAATTACAAACAACTCAAGCAAATTAAAATAAATAGTTGAATTCATAGTTTCATACCTTCAAGTCTAACATGATGAATGATTCCTGAAGTATAATTCAACAAACCTTCAAAAGGGTACAACTGGCTGTAAACCATAGGGATACTAAGAGTACAATTCCACCTTAAGTTCCTCCTTATCTCTCCTACATTCTCTCCCTTTCTCATTGTCTTCCTTCGATTTTCATTCTTTCTTACCTTTTTAGGTAAATTTCGACTGCTCCCATGAACTGGGTAATAAATTGGATAATAATTACAATTTCATTAAGCAACCCTTGAATAATATTAAGCCCAAATTTCAACAAAAAACCAAATTTTCAGGGAAAAAAACTACCTGAAAATGGATCCATCAGAAGCAACAGAGAAAGAAAGAAACGCATTCTGAAAACAGCAATCAAGTACTGCAGCTTCTGTTTGAACTTCTAATCTAAGCTTACTGCTTTCCACATCCACCAACCTAATACTCTAAAAATATTGAAGAAAAAATTAATTAAATTGAGTGAAATTCAAAAGAAAATTGTGAATAATAATTTATGAAGAAGCAAATAATAGTAACTTACAGAATCCCAAGATGAAATGAGAAGATTGTTGGATTCTAGAGCAAATCGTACACGAGTAATCGTAAGATAGCACGATTGTTATGAACAATAATCAACATTAAAATGTAATAACTATAAATAACACAATTGTCTTCATCAAATTAACCCTAGAATTTCAAACTTGCTCAATTCAAATTGAATCTTTAATATAAAGAAAGAGAGATTACTTAGACCAGATCTATGCAGAAGACATTGATAAAGGAAAGATATGGAGGAGCGGAGAAGAATGCGACGGCGAAGAGTGACGATAGTGGTGGAGCCGTGGAGAGCAGGTGAAGCATGAGGGTGACAGTAGGTCATGAGAACCTCGAAGCGGCTCCGGTGAGGATGACGGTGACTGGGAAAGTCGCGGCTGCTCAAAATCGCAGCCCTCGTAGAAGATGAAGAAGAATGAAGGAGGAGAGAGAAGCTAAGGTAGGTGAGAGAGGAGGAGATTTCGAGGAAGGAGAAAGAAAGAAGATATTTCGGTTTTATTTTTAAGAACATTCGCACCGGTTCGAACCGAACCGGTGCGAAAACTCATTTTTCCCACCGGTTTGATTAAAACCGGTGGGAAAAGTATTTTTCCCAATTCCACCCATTTCTTTTCCCACCGGTTTTCAAGAACCGGTGCGAAAAGTGCGGTGCGGAATTCAATTTTTCTACTAGTGATTTGCTTACGTTCTAAATTTTACCCATTATGTTCTAAACTATATACTTTATGTGATAAACTGTTTTAATATTTAACCCTATATATTCCAAAACTATATACTTTATGTGATAAACTGTTTTAACATTTACCCCTAAATATTCTAAACTTTATATTCAACTTACTTTTGCCTATGTTCTAAAGTTTACCCTGTATGTCCTAAAGTTTACCCTGTATGTTCTAAAGTTTACCCTTTATGTTCTAAAGTTTACCCTTTATGTTCTAAAGTTTATTCTTTATGTTGTAAAGTTTATCCTTTATATTCTAATCACTCAACTTACTTTTGCCTATGTTCTAATCACTCAACTTACTTTTGCCTATGTTCTAATCACTCAACTTACTTTTGCCTATGTTCTAAAGTTTACCCTGTATGTTCTTTTTACCCTATATATTCTAAAGTTCTCTCTTTATGCTCTAAAGTTTATCCTTTATATTCTAAATTTTGTAATTCATATATTATAATGTGTAGGAAGAAAACAAGAAACAATCAAGACAAGAGGACAAGGAAAAGAGAAAGGAAGAGTTATCAATGGTAATTATATCTTTTAAATTATTACTATATATGCTTATCTTGTAAAAATTGAAAACACTTTATTCTAACCTTTATATTATAATCTTTAAAATTTATGTTGTTGTTTTCTAAATTTTATAATTTATATACTAGAAGGCACCAAAAGGAAAAAAGAAACAACCAAAATAAAAGGAAAAGGAGAAGAGAATAGAAAAAACATCAATGGTAACTATACCTTTTTAATTATAATTACATATGCTTAACATCTTAATATGTAGATACTTTATACTTTATGCTCTTGTTATTTTAAGTTTTTATGTAGGTGTTCTAATATTTGTATTTTATGTTTTGGAAGGCACATAAAGAAAAGGAAACAAAAAACAAAGGCAAAGAGGGAAGAATAGAACAACCATCAATTGGTTCTAGTTCTACAACTTCTCGAAATGACATGATGGTATGATTTAGTTTATGTTCTAAATTATATTTTATGTTCCATTTAATCCTTTTTTGTTAAATTATCCATGTTATGTCCTTTATGTTCTAAATTATTTTTGTGTTCTAATGAAGGGCTTTTTGAGCAAATTTGGAGATTTGGCAAAACCACTTGCCTCGAATGTTAAAGAGATGTATGGCATGTTAGAACAAGCAAAAGATCTTTTTGTTGAGGAAGAAACAACAGGAAAAATGCAACATCTCATAGACAACATATGGTGCAAGTACACAACAAAGGCATTATAATTATGTTCTAAAGTATTTTCTGGTTGTGTTCTAAAGTATTTTCAGCTTATTTTCTAAAGTATAATAAATTAATATAAATATTATATATTATGTTCTAAATTATAATTTCTTATTTTATAGACATTCGTGAACCAAGAAGAAAAGAAAAGCCCTTCTATACTTAGTCAAGATCAACATGTCTTCGATGAACCGACATTTATTGAAGAATTGGATATGGTTATGGATAAGGCATGGAAGAAATTCGAGGAAAAAAGCTCACCAAAGACACCGACAGTTGGTAATTTCACATGTACATGCTTAATTTCCAAATTATACTTATGTTCAAAATCAGATGCTTATGATTTAAAGTACTTTCTTATGTTCTAAAACATGCGCTTAAATCATATGCTTATGTTCTAAATTATATGGTTATGTTCTAAATTAGCTATGTTCTAATTATTTTTTGTTATGCTATAATACTTAATTTTTATGATCTAATTGTTATGCAGATTTGAGATCAAAGAAAGAGGAAAAAGATAAGAACAAAGAGAGTGAAATAAGGAAAATAAAGACAAAAACTTGTTGATTCCCTCACCAGTAGTTGGTAATTTCACATTATTTTCAAATTCATTTTTTATGTACTAATATTTACTAGATATGTTCTAATGTTACTTCTTATGTTCTAAATTTTTTTTAGTTATGTTTTAAAGTTAATTCTTGATTTTTTACATTCTAACTATTTCTAGGTTGTCTCCTAATTGTTTCTACTTATGGTCTAATAGATACTTATGTTCTAACTATTTATAGGTTGTGTAATAATTGTTTATATTTCTTATATTCTAACTATTTCTAGGTTGTGTAATAATTGTTTATATTTCTTATGTTCTAATTATTTCTAGGTTGTATAATAATTGTTTATATTTCTTATGTTCTAACTATTTTTAGGTTGTATAATAATTGTTTATATTTCTTATGTTCTAACTATTTCTAGGTTGTGTAATGATTGTTTATATTTCTTATGTTCTAAAGTTACTTTTTATTTTCTAATTATTTCTTGCTATTTGCTATAATACTTAATTTTTATGCTCTAATTGCTGTGAAGATTTGGGATCAAAAGAAGAACAAAAAGAGCAGGACAGAAAAGAGAGAAACAAGGAGGAAAAAATTGAGAAGAAAGATGATCAAAATTGTGTGGAAAATGTGGAGAAGAAAGAGAAAAGGAATGAGGAGTCACCAAAAACTCCAATGCTTCCAAAAAAGAAGCAACCTTTTGATATAACTCCTCCAAGTTTCAACTTGTTGACCCCCTCACCAGCAGTTGGTAGTTTTACATTATTTCAAACTCATTTCTTATGAACTAATATTACTATATTTGTTCTAAAGTTACTTCTTATGTTATAAATTTTTTCTGTTATATTCTAAAGTTATTTCTGATGTTCTAAATTTTTTCTAAATCAGATGCTTATGTTTTAAACTACTTTCTTATGTTCTAAATTATGTGCATATGCTCTAAATTATATGATTATGTTCTATATTATGTGCATATGATCTAAATAATATGATTATGTTCTAAATTAGTTATGCCCTAAATTACGTGCATATTTTCTAAATAATATGATTATGTTCGAAATTAGTTATGTTCTAAATTATGTGCATATGTTCTAAATTGTATGATTATGTTCTAAATTATGTGCATATGTTCTAAATAATATGATTATGTTGTAAATTTAGTTATGTTCTTAAGTTACTTCTTGTGTTCTAAATTTTTCTGGTTATATTCTAGTTATTTCTAATGTTCTAAATTTTTTCTGGTTATGTTCTAACTATTTCTATGTTATGTCCTTATTGTTTCTACTTATGGTTTGATTTTTACTTCTTATGTTTTAATAATTACATTTTATGGTCTAATAGTTACTTATGTTCTAAATATTTTTTGTTACGATCTAAAAGTTACTTCTTATGTCCCTTCAATTAAAGATGTCCCAGAAAATCAAGAAGATAATGAAGCAGAAATCACTTACGAAGAAGTGACAACAAATATTCTAAATTGTGCTTTTCAGAATCCAGATCATCCACCTACATTGGATGAAGAGAAGAAGGAAAAAGAGGAGAAGCAAGAAGAGGAAAAAGAGGAGAAGAAAGAAGAGGAAAAAGAGAAGCAAGAGGGGAAGAAAGAAGAAAAAGTGAAGAAGAAAGAAGAGGAAAAAGAGGAGAAGCAAGAGGAGAAGAAAGAAGAAAAGGGGAAGAAGAAAGAGGAGGAAAAAAAGGAGGAAAAAAAGGAGAACCAAGAGGAGAAGAAAGAAGAAAAGGGGAAGAAGAAAGAGGAGGAAAAAGAGGAGAACCAAGAGGAGAAGAAAGAAGATGAAGGAAGCAAGAATGAAGAGAAGAACAAAGAAGAAAAAAATGAGAATAAGAAAGGGTAATCATTTTGTAAACATTAGATCTTTAGGTTAGAAATATTTAGAAAAGTTAGGTTAAACTTTAAAACAAATTTTGGTTATGGTTTAGTTAAATTTTAATTTAGAACTTGGTAATAATAAATTTTTGTTTGATTTGGTTATGGTTTTTGTTATCTATAAATTTTGGTTTGATTTTGTTATGGTTTTTGTTATCTATGTGATATTTTTTAATTGAATTAAGTAGGAAGTAAGGAGAAGAAAAAGGTGAACAAAAGACACGGAAAAAAAGAGGAAAGGATAAGCTTCCAATGTACTTGCGTTCACCTTTCATGGTTGAACATGAAAAACTTTTCAAGAATGTGGACAATAGAAAGGTAGCTGAGTATGCTTTTGCTCAGGGAGATAATAAGTAAGACTTTAAAACTTCAAAATTATATTCTAAACTAAATGTTCTAAGTTATAAGTTATGTACTAAACTTTATGCTTATATTCTAAAATATATGTTCTAAGTTATATGCTTATGTTCTAAGTTATATGCTTATGTTCTAAGCTATATGCTTATATTCTAAAATATATGTTCTAAGCTATCTAAATTGCATGCTTATCTTCTAAATTGCATGCTTATGTCCTAAACTATATGATCTAAGCTATAAGTTATGTTCTAAACTGAACGCTTATTTTCTAAA